TGTTTTTCTAAAGCAGCATAGCGACCGTGGCGTCGTCGTTTTCTCTAAAGTACATGGCTTCGATCAAGTATGGCTTTGACCTTTTGTCTGCCAATTTGTGAGTTTGCTGGCGCATTTATTTGTCTTTCTATGATACATGCCTACTTTTGCTACAAATGTGGAAGCTGTTTGTGTGAAGTTGACAAGTTTGCATGCAACATCATCTGAAAGGAAAACTGCGTCTGTGTACCCTCCCCTTATCTGGCACGTAGCTCAGATTACAGAGCGTACTCGTGAGACGCTTGACCTCTTCTTCGGCAGCAGGATCAGCCATCGCAGACGGCAAACGTTCCAGAGCAACACAAGAGGGGCGAGACGCGTCCCAGCTGAACCTAAACAGCTACAAAAACAAGATTTCATCTCCAGACTCCGCGGACAAGTTCCAGTGAGTTTCAGGTCGCGGACATGCCTCAAAAGCTAAGAATTCCCATATTCGTTTACCTTCTGCTAGATTGCTTTCGATTGCGCGGACACGCGGACAACCCATACCTCCCCAGGAGCCGCGGACAGTCGCGGACTCCGGCGGACATTTCGCGGACTTCGTCATTTCCTCTGGGCAGGTCACTGCGTTTCTACGCTGCGGTTCTGTTGCTGCAGCTCAGGCACATCACACACTAGATTCTCTACTTGCTTCTGGGCCTCGTGAGCCCATCCATGTGGCCTCGGGCAAGAGGTCGGTGCACTGCTGCAGCTCGACCAAATCATTGGCAACGGACTGCTGAAATATCTCGATGTGATAACTGTTCAGCAGGACCTCGCAGCGCTTCCACTGATCTGTCCAGCCGCCAAAGACGAAGCAACAAATGGTCTGCTGCTCGATGCCATCTTCTTGGCAGACCAGACCCCAATCTTCTTTCAGGCACCACTGGATCAGTTTGTTGAGGAACAAAACTTGCTGTGCCAGCAACGAACTAAAAACTTGAACCCAGCTGCATGGGATCAGGCGATTTCTTTGGACATCACTTCTGTTCTGTTTGACAGAAAACAATCTTCCACTTTGCAAAAAATACTATCCTTGCAAAAACATTACCAAAAACATACAATATGATAACTAACCTAAGTAAGAGCTAAGTCTAACCTAAGTTACCCATACTTTAGTACTCATGAACTTATAAGTAGCTAAGTTGTAGCTAAGTCAGGGGCTTCCAAACCATTAACTTAGCATGTACTTAGACCAGTTACACAAGTTATAACTCTACTTCTAAACATCTTAAGATAAATATAAATCCATGATAAATTCTCTAACTCCCCGGGGCCATCCAATCTCCAAAGCCAAAGCAGGTCCACAGGATAACACTTTCCCCCATGTATCTCCAGCGGTATGCCTTTCAAGGAAACCACAACAACGACGATCAGGGCACGCCTGGGAAGCGGGAGTATCTATTGGTAGACTGATTTGGACATTTGTATCTCCATTCAACAATGGTTGACCTTATGCCCAAGTGTTTCTAGATTTTTGAAGACATTTGAAGCATGGGACAGTTTTGTCAGTGGAAACATGCACACACACACTGAATCGAGGCATGAAAGTGTTTGAAGCCGTTCCATAGTACTGGAAGCATGGGAAGCAAGCCTGAATACAAAAACCATCAAAAACCACTTTGTTGCTTTCTTAGTCAGTGGCTCTGTTGATCTCTGCCCATCGCACTCCTTCTTGCAGAATGGTGCATCTTCGCCTGCTGCAGCAATCCCAGCAAATTATGTTTTGCTATTTTCCTTGTGTGATATCAAACTTTTTACTTGTGACGGCATCACTCTAAAGTCTCTAGAACCCACTGAATCTGAAATTCTGCTCTCTTTAAGACTCTCTTTCTTGCATTCCTTTAATCGCGTGTCAGCTTTCTCCCGGCTTCCGAGGTGCTCTCGATGCTCGCAGGAGTTATCGGCTTTGCCTTCTCCTTCTGACCACTAGCATCGGTTGCGTGAAACAAACTGATGCGGTGCGACTGACATTGCAGTTCTATGATACCAATATCTCGCAACCATAGGTTGAACATTTTTTGCCCGAAATGCAGCGAATATCCATCATGGCAGGCGGCACTTCTGAAGAAGGTGATCAACGCTTCTCCCCTGCTAAAAGAGCAGCACGAACAGGCAGCAATGCTCTTATTATTCTTATGGCCCATATGGCCAATACTTATTGTTGTTATCCAAAACCATCCAGAATTGCCCAGGAGACATCAGCATGATCCATCTTTGCTGCAGTCATGCCAAGGGTGCCCCAGTGCAGGTCTTTCAGCACTTTGACATGAACGACCCAGCCATGCCAGCGCTTTGAAACGGCTGGTGGTGGGGGTGGTGGTGAAGTCTGAGCGCCAGGAAGCGATTGAGCTGAATGAATCTGATGAGGTTTACGTCGAAAATGTTTCTAAAATTTGACAAACACAATCTAGAAATCACATAGGATGCAGAAATGAAGCAAATTGGAGGCGTTTGCCAGGTCAAGGTGGCTGACCTTGCAGCACGGTCCTCAGAATTGGAAGCCAGGCAGGTTTGTTCCAGGAGGGTCATGGTTGTTGCAGAAGTTCACCTCCAATTCCCATGACATTTTCGAAAAAGGAATTCATATCCCATTCATATCCCATTCATATCCCATCTAGATTTTTTTTTTTGCTGACCTCCACCCTTTTGAGGATACCTCCACTGGTGTCAACAAACATTAATGACACTAATGAGCAAGACATTGCGATTTCGTTCGATCGCTTCCATGATAGCAAGGCTGGCTTGTCCACCGCGGATCGTGGTGAGCTGCAGGCATCGAGCCTTGGGATGTGTGATGCTGATGATCCCAACTGGAAGTCCAACAGACAAGTGCCACTTGCACATGGGGAAGATGTGAGTGAGATCGATTTGCGCTCATTGTTGCATCTGAATCATTTAAAACTGGTGGACTGCACCCGAGCTCAAGTAGCCAACTTTGCTCGAACAAATTCGGATTCAGCAACTTACAGCAACAAATGTGGTCGGATTCAGCAACTAATACGATTCAGAAACTAATGTTTTCGGATTCAGAAACCAATGATTCATAAACAAATGTCTTCAGATTCAGAAACAAATTCTTTCGGATTCAGAAACTAATAAGGTCAGATTCAGAAACTAATTATTCAGAAACAAATGATTCGTCAAGCAGAAACAAATGAGACAGTACATGCATGAGTCATGTCTTAATCCTCCCCTCAGCTGAAACATCAAAATTGCCACCCCCCTGGCAAATATATGCGCATTCGCATTGATCAACTAACCATCAGAATTGCTTCCCTCTCTGGACAACACGTTCATACTTACACTGGCAAATACATGCATAGTCACTTTTGTCAACTAACAAACGAAACTTGCGACCTCCTCTGGGCCACACGTTCACGTTTACACTAAGACAATTCAAAATTGCCACCCCCTCCGGCATTTATATGCGCATTCTTGTTTTTAACTAACAAAACAAACAGGCCACCCCACTCTGGACAACACGTTCATATTTCCACCAGAACCAATCAAACTTGCCACCCCTTCTGGCAAATACATGCATAGACTTGTTAACTAACAAAGCAAAGTTGACACCCCTCTGAACAACACTTTCCTTTTTACACCAGAATAATTCAAAATTGCCACCCCCTCTGGCAAATACATGCATAGTCTTTTGACACTAGCAAAACAAACTTGCCACCTGCTCTGGACTACACGTTCACGTTTACACTAAGACAATTCAAAATTGCCACCCCCTCCGGCAAATACTTGCCACCGCCTCCGGCAAATACTTGCCACCCCCTCTGGCAAATACATGCAAAGTCTTGTTAACTAACAAAACAAACTTGACACCCCTCTGAACAACACCTTCCTTTTTCCACCAGAACAAATCAAAATTGCCAGCCCCTCGGGCAAATACATGCGTAGTCCTATTAACTAACAAGACAAACTTGCCACCCCCTCTGGACAACATGTTTATATTTACACCAGAACAAATCAAAATTATTCAAAATTGCCACCCTCTCTGGCAAGTATATGCATAGTCTTTTTAACTAACAAAACAAACTTGCCACCCGTCTGAACAGCACGTTCCTTGTTGCACTAGAACGGGTCAAATTGCAACCCCCTCTGGCAAACACATGCATAGTCTTGTTAACTAACAAAACAAACGTGCCACCCCCTCTGGACAACACGTTCATCGAAGGAAGTTTAGAAGCCAAACTTCCGACAATACGGACAGATGAAAAGCAGAGATGGGAAGAGTCAGCGAAGAGAAGAGAAGAAGAAAGAAGATCAAAAAAGAGAAAGTCTCAGAAGAAAGAAGATCCAGGTGCGCGAAAAGGTAGGAAAGTCGCGAAACACTGTGTTTTTCCAAGGATTTGTGGCTCCGGAGGGTCGAAAAGTAGGCTCGCTAAAGCGGCGGGTGCGGAGCCAGCTGGCCAGATGAGAGATGAAAAATTGCACGCCGATTTGGCGCGAAGCAAATTTCGAAGTCAAAATGTTAAAAACACTACATGTTCGGACCACTTTAGGTTCAGATGTCGTTTCGCGTGGCAGGCGCAAGGGATTGTGCGCCTTGTAACAAGTGAGCAGATCGTGAGGGTTTTGTAGCATTTTCAACTACAACCACCACTACACCACACCACACCACACCACACCACACCACACCACACCACGCCACGCCACGCCACGCCACCCCACACCACACCACACTACACTACACTACACTACACTACACTACACTACACTGCACTACACTACACTACACTACACTACACTACACTACACTACACTACATCACACTACACTACACTACACTACACTACACCACACTACACTACACTCCACTACATCTACAACTACAACTACAGCTGCAACTGCAACTGCAACTGCAACTACAACTACACTACATTCCACTACACTACACTACACTACACTACACTACACCACACTCCACTACACTACACTAAATTCCACCACATTGAACTACACTACGCTACACTACACTACATTACACTACGCTACACCCCACTCCACTACACTACACCTCACTACACTACACCCCACTACACTACAGTACACCAGTACACTACACTTAATTACACTACACTACACTACACCACGCGACACTACACTACACTACGCTACACTACACTACACTACCCTACCCTACACCACACCACACCACACTACACTACACTACACACCACGCCACACCACACCACACTACACTACACTACACTACACCACACTACATTACACTACACTACACTGCACTACACTGCACTACACTGCACTACACTAACTACAACTACAACTACAACTGCAACTGCAGCTGCAACTACAACTACAACTACAATACGCTACACTACACTGCACTACACTACGCTAATTGCATTGCGTTACACTACACTACACTACACTACACCGCACCACACCACACTACACTACACTACACTGCACTACACTGCACTACACTGCACTACACTAACTACAACTACAACTACAACTGCAACTGCAACTGCAACTGCAACTACAACTACAACTACAATACGCTACGCTACACTACACTGCACTACACTACGCTAATTGCATTGCGCTACACTACACTACACTACACCGCACCACACCACACTACACTCAATTACATTACCCTACCCCACATTGCATTACATTACATTACTTTACATTACATTACATCACATCACATCACATTGCATTACATTACATTACTTGGTGAAAGCCCTAAGTTGTCTCAGGCAGCACTTTGTTGTCTCATCTCGGTGTGCCATGCGAAAGATGTGACACAACCATTGGAATGGAGTTGTCATTTGGTATGATCTTTACAGCACAACGCATAGGCACACAAGGATTCTTAACATTGCAAACATTAGTTATATCTATTTGCCTCCCTAACAATACCTGGGTTACTTTTATGGAGTTTAGCGGTGCCTTTTGGCTTTTGGTGGAATGGTATATTGTTACAAAATGAGGTTTAGACAAGCTCAATTCAATCTGCAAAGATCAGATTGGTGTTTCAATGGCAATGGAACCCCCCCGCAAGAAGCGATCTCGCAATGATGGGGTAAGCCCTTTCTTGTCTCAGATAGCGCTTTGTTGTCTCATCTCGGTGTGCCATGCGGAAGAAGTGACACAACCACTGGAATGAATTACTACATGATTTGTTATTTGGTATGATCTTTACAGCACAACGCACACGCAGGGATTCTTAACATGGCAAACATTAGTTTTTAGTATTTACAGTTTTTGATCTGACGTGGGGATATGTGGGGTGGGTTCTGGCTGGGATGGCAAAATGTAATTCCGGTACCTCGTCCGGTGTCTCGTCCGGTACCTCGTCCAAAAACCTTTCCAGAGTCATGATTCTGGTATTACATCCATATTCCATATGTCTCGGATTCCGTTACAGCAGGGCAGGGTGTGATTTCAAAGTGATTAATTTCAAACTTTGTTTGTGAAAGTCTTCCACTCTCCTGCAAGTGTGCCATTGGGATTTTATTTTTTTTGAGAATGGACACCCTTTATTTTGTTTCTTTTGGAAATACCAGAGCGCAAGCTGGTGATGCTGTTTCAATGCTTGGCTAAGCTTTTGACCTGGAATTGCTTTTGGCGGTGTGCCATTGGGATTTGACTCCAGGTTGACAGGTCGCACCTTCCCATTTTCTGATTCCTAGCATAGCTAAATGCAACTAGGGACATGATTCAAAGTTTGCAACGACTTCGTGAAAGTCTTCCACTCTCCTGCAAGTGTGCCATTGGGATTTTAGTTTTTTCAGAATGGACACCCTTTATTTTGTTTTTTGGGAAATACCAGAGCGCAAGCTGGTGATGCTGTTTCAATGCTTGGCTAAGCTTTTGACCTGGAATAGCTTTTGGCGGTGTGCCATTGGGATTTGACTCCAGGTTGACAGGTCGAACCTTCCCATTTTCTGATTCCTAGCATAGCTAAATGCAACTAGGGACATGATTCAAAGTCTGCAACGACTTCGTGAAAGTCTTCCACTCTCCTGCAAGTGTGCCATTGGGATTTTAGTTTTTTTTGAGAATGGTCACCCTTTATTTTGTTTCTTTTGAAAATACCAGAATGCAAGCTGGTGATGCTGTTTCAATGCTTGGCTAAGCTTTTGACCTGGAATTGCTTTTGGCGGTGTGCCATTGAGATTTGACTCCAAGTTGACAGGTCACACCTTCCCATATTCTGATTCCGGGCATAGCTAGATGCAACTAGGGAAATGATTCAAAGTCTGCAACGACTTCGTGAAAGTCTTCCACTCTCCTGCAAGTGTGCCATTGGGATTTTAGTTTTTTTCAGAATGGACACCCTTTAATTTTGTTTTTTTGAAAATACCAGAACGCAAGCTGGTGATGCTGTTTCAATGCTTGGCTAAGCTTTTGACCTGGAATTGCTTTTGGCGGTGTGCCATTGAGATTTGACTCCAAGTTGACAGGTCACACCTTCCCATATTCTGATTCCGGGCATAGCTAAATGCAACCTAATAACATGATTCAAAGTTTGCAACGACTTCAAAGCATGATGCATCTGAGCCGCTGTGCCTTGGGGATTTGACACCTGGGGTAACTACTGTCTGCCCTGGGGTAACTCGGTGTGCCTTGCGGTTGGGGTAGCTAATGGGTAAATGGGGTAACTTAGGGCGTCTAATTGCATTGCGCTACACTGCACTACACTACACCACACCACACCACACCACACTACACTCAATTACATTACCCTACCCCACATTGCATTACATTACATTACATCACATCACATCACATTACATTACATTACATTACATTACACTACACTCATTACACCAGCAGAAATGCAACTGCAACTACACTACACTAATTACACTACACCACAGCTACAACTCCACTACACTACAACTACAACTACAGCTGCACTACACCACTACATCCAGCAGTTGTGTGTGATGTGACCGACCAGGTGACCACTGCAACCATGGCAGCCACTCCAAAAAACACAGCTCCAACCACCTTTCGGTCCATCAGTGGATTCGCTCTGCCATCCGTGATTCACAACAACCAGTTTGCCCTATAGGTTTACTATTTTTGAAACTTCCGCCACCGCCTTGTGCGGCAGTACTGGTATTTACACTACAACAAATCAAACTTTCAAACCCCCGGGCCAAATACATGCATAGTCTTGTTAACTAGCAAAACAAACTTGCCACCCCTGTGAACAACATGTTCCTTTTTCCACCAGAACAAGTCAAGATTGCCACTCCCTTCTGGCTAATACATGCATAGTCTTGTTAACTAACAAAACAAACTTGCCACCCCTTCTGGAGAACGTTCATATTTCCACCAGAACAAATCAAAATATCCACCCCCTCTGGCAAATACATTCATAGACTTGCTAACTAACAAAACAAACTTGACACCCCTCTGGACAGCACGTTCATATTTACACCAGAACAAATCAAAATTGCATCCCCTCTGGCAAATACATGCATAGTTTGTTAGCTAACAAAACGAACTTGCCACTCCCTCTGGACAACACGTTCCTTTTTGCACCAGAACAATTCAAAATTGCATCCCGTCTCGCAAATACATGCATAGTCTTGATAACTAACAAAACAAACCTGCCACCCCCTCTGGACAGCACGTTCATATTTACACCAGAACAAATCAAAATTGCATCCCCTCTGGCAAATACATTCATAGTTTGTTAGCTAACAAAACAAACTTGCCACCCCCTCTGGACAGCACGTTCATATTTACACCAGAACAAATCAAAATTGCATCCCCTCTGGCAAATACATGCATAGTTTGTTAGCTAACAAAACAAACTTGCCACTCCCTCTGGACAACACGTTCATATTTCCACCAGAACAATTCAGCATTGCCACCCTCTCTGGCAAATACATGCATAATCGTGTTATATATCCAACAAAACAAACTTGACACCCGTCTGGGCAACACGTTCCTTTTTCCACCAGAACAAGTCAAAATTGCCACCCTCAATTGACCCCCTGTTGAGCAAATATATGCTTATTCTCATTGATCAGCTTAACATCAGAATTGCCTCCCTCTCTGGACACCACATTAATTCCGGTCATTAGTTTCCGAACACATCTGTATTAGTTTTGGAATATAAGTTTCCGAATACACGCCCTGACCATTTGTTTCGGAATACAACTGTATTAGTTGTAGAATATAAGTTTCCGAACAAAAGTTTCCGAATACAACTGTATTAGTTTCCGTGTATAAATTTCAGGAATATAAGTTTCCGAATACAACTGCAAAAGTTTCCGAATACAGCCGTGACCAATTTTGCTCAATCAAGAACTCTTCCGCAGAAATGCTCAACTCTTTCGCCAAGAAGTCAAAAAAAATCCAGTGGCATCTTAAGGCGGTCCTAGAGGAGCAGGACTTGAGTGCCAAAATTGACAAGGCCCAGCAGTGAGGGTGAGAAAAATGTCGGAGGATGGCTTCGCCTAGTTCCTGGATAAGAGGCTTCTCAAGAATCGTTGCAGGATATGTTGCAGAGCGCTGTTTATTTTTTGGGAGCATGCTTTTGCAATTCACCAGCCTTCCAACAGTTGGTTCTCTTAGAACACTTGGCTGCATCTGCCTTAGCGGACAAATGGGAGGGCATGTTGCATGGACGGAGGGAACTCACAATTGGCAGATCCAAAGCCTTGCCATTCTTGTATCGTTGTGGAGCTTTCAAGTGACATGCTTTGTCAGAACTGGCTTCCTGTCCCCAATGAAGGTCACTCAATTGCTGCAGCGCGATCTCAGCATGGTCAAGCTGCAATCTGAAGTCAAGAGTTGGGATTGCCAAGACAATCCGAAATTGGAAATGGCCACAAGAGCGGGCCTTTCTTGGTCCCTCCAAGGGAGAGGTATTTCAGTCTATGCGGGTTGAGCCTGTTCGTGTGCGTTGCAAAGCTGTAGACAGATCCCAAAGATTCTGCCACAAGTCTGCAGTGTTGCTGAGAGACTCTTTATTCTTTCTCCACACTCAAGGCAGAGTTGAGGAGAAAGTGATGAAAGAACAAAAGCAGAAGATCCTGATGGACAGATCCAGACTGCACTTTTTTGCCATTGTTCTTACTTCCTCTAGCTTCTTCTCTGTGTTTAGAGTGCAGTATGCAAATATGTAAATACTACTTCTGTCCTGCGCCCAACTAAACTTGTGCCCTCATGTTCCTGTTTTTCCATGTTTTTCCTGCTGCGAGGATCAGATGAGACAAATCCAGAAAGAGCTGGGAATAGAGAAGGACCGGAACGCAGCTTTTTTTTTCAAACGTTTGAACTTGGCTTGCTAGGAGTTTAGATTGTCGGCCATCTCTCGTTCTTGACTATGACTAGAATAGAAACACCCCTGATGCAGCTAGATTTAATTCGAATGCCCACAGACACGAACCAGACTATAATATACAATAATATGTAATGTTAAATGATAATATATAATAATATATAACACTTGACTTTTGTACATGGCTGTCAAGTATCATTTCAACTGGTGTTCACAGGTGCACCTTTTGGCCCCGAGAAAACATAGAGCTGCCACAACTTGTGTTTGGTAATGGAGCTCGACTGGCTCCTTTCCCCATTTCGACCTTTTCAATTTTCGCATTTCCTGTGCCCACGCCATAGCACAACGATCGACTTCTTCGCCTACTACCTGGAGCTGACCAAGGTGAATGGCAACAGCCAGTGGCTCTGTTGGCACTGGCGGCATACCTCTTGAAGAATACCGCCGAGAGGTGCCACCTGGATGGGATCCGGCTGGAATGGCCGCATACCCCCTGAAGGTCTACTTAGACCGGGTTAGAATGTGGTACCGGTTATGAGATGGTGCCGATGAAAGCGTAGGCCCAATGCTGGCAGGGAGACTACGGGGGCGAGCACAGAAGATCGCCATGAATCTGCGCTTGGTGAACCCCTTGGGAGAGTACGATGTGGGTGATGCAGCCCTGGTGAGGCTGAGCGTGGACGAGGTCTTGGACCCCCTGACGGGGCAGGTGATTCAACATGCCATACCGTCTGGGGTACAGGCATTGTTGAACGCCTTGAGATCGGCGTTTGGTGAGGCCCAGCAGCTGCAGGCCACCAAGGCCATGGAGACATTCTTCGAGTTTAAACGTGGTCGACTACCTCTACCAGAATGGTCGGTGCAATGGCAGTTGAACTACGAGGAGGCAGTGGACCACTCAGGGCTCGAGGTCAACCAGGTCGCAAAGACCTACTTGTACTTCAAGTCCAGCCAGCTGCTTCAGAAAGCCGTGGACGACATACTGCTTCAGGTGCATGGTGACATGAGGAGGTTTGAAGAAGTAAGGACATTACTTCTTCGAATGGCACACAGGACCCTGGACAATCACACCGTGCACTACGAGGACTCCCAGCAGTACTACATGGACGAGGACGACAACGGGAGCTGGAGCACTATGAGCGATCGATGGACTGACCAGTCCTGGGAGCACTACATGAATGACGAGCTCTACAACTGGTACGAGACTGAGTATGCCTGGGACTACAACTACGACCCTGACTATGAGGAGACCGACCCATGGGGAGAGCAGACTTGGTATGAGTCTGGATGGAATGAAGAGCCTGATGAACCTCAAGCTGCAGAACCTTCAGAAGAACCGCAACAACAAGAGTTCTTCAAGGGCAAGGGCAAAGGCGGCAAGCCATCAGCCATGGGCTTAGGATGTCATGTCTGTGGCTCCAAGTGGCACAATGCAGCCTCTTGTCCCATTGGAGACAATCAGCAGAGGTTCAACAAGGGCAAGAACAAGGGCAAAGGCAAAGGCAAGTCTTGGAACAAGGGCTACTTTCCCCGCAAGGGCTATGGCAAGTCCAAAGGCTTTGGCAAGAAGGGCTACCCTCATGGTGGCAAGTACGGCAAGAGGAACTTCATGCAGGACGAGATGCCCGCGAGCTTCAACGACTACTATGGTGGCTCCTACTTGACCAACACCGAGGACAAGCCGAACATGCAGAAAGACACTGTGAGGATTGTGGCTGAATCCCCCGAGAAGCAGGAGGAGCTCTTGGATGGCAAGAAAGTGAGATTCGACGACAAGGTGGAGTACAACAATGGAGATGGAGCTCAAGCTGGAGTTGCCAAGAAGCTCAACTTCCCTTCTGGAACCACCGAGAGCATGGACAGCTACCACATGGTGCGAGGATGCAGAGTTTGCGGCCTTTTGGTGGATCCTGGAGCTTCATCTGGGCTGGTTGGAACGGACACCTTGAATGAGCTCCTGAACTCAGGAATGGTTCCCAGTGGTCGACAAGATGAAGTGATCTTTGGACCATCATCTACAACGGTCACTGGAATTTCAGGGCAGTCTGACAGCACCTTGGCTCAGGTGACATTGCCTTTCGACCTTGCATGGAGGAGATCAAGTACCAGCAAGCTACACCGCCGACTTGATTGGTGTACAGGGCAGCACTTGCCCAGCTTTGTTGCCCAACACATCGCTGAGGCAACTTCGAACTGTGGTCCTGACCGAGTGGTTCAGCAACGGCGATGGTGTCATGATCTGCAGCACCAATGGCAAGAGAGCAGATGACCCACAGTCCAACTTGGTCTTTATGCGACTGTTGCTGGCGGAGTCAGGACACTACATCCTCCCGGTCAACAAGCAGGACCAGCAGCTCTCGCAGAACGAGATGGAAGAAGTGCAGCGCCTGTGGCAAAAGCGGAACACGGCGACGGCACTTGAGCAGACTTGGCATGGTGATCGACAAGGTGGAGATGATGGCTACAACAAGAAGCCTGAGAAGTTGCAGTTCGCCAAGGACGTGATCGAGGAGCCCTACATCACCAAGAATGATATCGACATGGACAAGAACATCGCTGTGGGAGAAGAGCCAGAGATCCAGGTTCTCATGGGCAGCAACTACGACCAGGAGTATGACGACACTTCGCAGCCATATCAAGGAGATGTTCTACCTGGACACCTTCATGAGAGCAAGCTCAAGTACCTCACCAAGATGTACAAGGCCGTCCCTGAGGAGTTCTACACGCAGACCAAACGACGGCCAGTGACCCCCAACAATGCGCGCTCATGGATGAGAAAGCGCAGAGGCAGTCACTTCAACTTCTGGGAATGGTGCTCAGGATCTGGCAGGCTGAGTCTCCTGGCTTTGTTGTCAGGACTATGTGTGACTGATGTTCCCCATTGACTACCGGTATCGTTGGGATCTTGCACATCCAGAACATCGCAAGATCATTGCCGAGATGGAGGAATCGATGTCTGAGCTGCCAGATGTGAACTTCTACTCACCAAGTTGCAGGCCGTGGTCAATATCGTCAACAAGGCGTGATCTGGCCCAAACACAGAGAGAAAGAAATGAGGAGATGCCGACAGTGAACTACATCAAGGGCAAGATCAAAGCTCGGCACAAGCGGAAGAAGGGCTACATCTTGGAGCAGCCCTGGACATCAGCTTTGTGGGAAAACCTCAAAGACAATCCTGGAGATCTACAACGAACTGACCCATGCAGGTACAAAGCCATGGACGAGCTGGAGAACCCGATCTTGAAACCAACGGGTCTACAAAGCAACATCCAGTTGCGCTACAGCATCAACCGATGCAACGGCCATCTTGGGCGGAAACATGGTTGGCTTCAGAGGACAACCATGGGGCACAATCGAACGACACTTGCTGCAGTATATCCTGAAGCTATTTGCAGAGCAATCATCAAGGATGTGAAGCGCTACATCAACAACAAGAACTGCTTTGTCGAGGCCTACTACAAGTGTCAGCGCTGTGCCCAAGGACGTGCAGCCACTCCTGATGTTCAACACAGTTCTTGCCTGGGGAGTGCCGATATGGCAAATGGTGGCCAGAAGGCGAGGACCCAAGGGAGAAAAAGAAGATTGCCAAAGAACAGCAACAGCAGGAGGACATCTTTGAAACCTTTCGCCGTGAGGCCTTGAAGAACGAGAAGGTCCTCCAGGGCAAGATGTCCATCCATCCTGACTTTGCCATGAACAACGAACAGACTGCAATCTTCAAGATGTGCATGCTCAAGCTACTGAGTGAAGCACTCGCCTCTTTCGAGGAGTTGGAACAGAACAAGCTTGAGCACAACTACACCCATTGGCTGGAGGATCCAACATCAATGAGCTGGTTGAAGAAGATCTTCCTCGACTACATGGTGATTGAAGGAGTCTTAGCCAGTCTTCAGCCGTGGTCGAAACCAACGCCTGATCCTGTCTTGGCCTTGGAGAAGGCGCCTCTGAGACTTCTGGTTCGTGGTGGAATTGATCGATGGACGATCATGCAGATTGAGGACCTCAGAGAGCTCAGTGCCAGTCAATGGCATGAACCTATGGACCTGGACGATGACTGGATGGTTGCACTATTTGGAAGTGACAAGATCAAAGCCAGGAAGAATCATCATCCTCGGCATCATCACGAGCCATCGTGCCAGTCCAAGATGATCGAGCTCAAGAACAGCAACAACATGCAGACCAAGAAGGTGAACTTGCTCCACTTCAACAACCTGAGATTGAGGTCTTGTCAGAAGATCAACCTGAAACTCGAGCTGGAGCCCTTCGTCCAAGCTTTGACTTCAGGAGAGTCTTCAAGCGGCTTCCAACTTTGGTGCAGAAGGGAGATCTGAACATGGCAAGAAGACTCATCTTGGGTCTACATGAGCGCATGTGGCACTGCCCACACATGGACGTTCGCAGTGTGCTGATACGCTGTGGCATGCCTCATGAAGTTTGGGGATTGACGGCAGATGCCGTGGCTTCATGCATGATCTGCAGGAAGTTTTCAAGAGCTGGACGGAGACCACAAACCAAGGGCTTCAACCTCAGCTACAACTTCAACGACGTGGTGCAGATGGACCTGTTCAAGTACCAGGACTTGTGGTATGCCCTGATGATCGATGAGGCCACGCGGTACAAGATCGCCACTCGATGTGAAGGCGGAGAACTACCACAGATCTTGGCCGCACTCATGAAAGGATGGATCCGATACTTTGGTCCAGTGAGAACTCTGGTGACCGACCAAGAGTCGTCATTGATGACGATTGGAGCTGGAGATGAGTTTCAGCGATTGGGCATAGCTCGACAGCCCGCTGGAACCACAAGTGGTCGACAAGGGCAGAAACACACCACAACTGGCTTGGTGGAGAAGCACATTGACCTGGTGAAGCTCACGATGCTGAAAACTCAAGCTGAAGCAGGGCGCTATGGAATCGAAGTTGAAGGAGAAGAACTTGCCGCAGAGGCATCCATGGCCCAGAACACAACAACCAATGTTGGTGGCTACTCTCCAGTCACCATGGTCTTCGGCATCTTACCTCGAGGATACTTGGATCCTGAAGCTGATGAACATGGAGATGTCGAACACATGGATCCCTCTAATCAACCTTTGAAAGATCTCTTCGACTTCGACAAATAGCCCTGGCTGCATCTCAGGCAGCAATCCTGGAGAGCCGCATCGCCAGAGCCAACAAGGCCAGACCTCAACAACTACAACTTGGAGACTATGTGCCGGGAATCGGGGAACAACAAAAGTTGAAGTATATCGTGAAGATGGAACTGGACAGGGCTGGAGAGGCCCAGCAACCATCCTCAAGATCAATGAAACGGCACCGTGGTGGTGGACGACCAGGGCAAGCCGTATCTCATGGGCATGAGACATGTCAGGCCTATCAGGGAGAGCTACATGGTCTTCTTCAATGACAACCAGAACGACACCATGGACTCCCAGAAGGTGACGGCAGCCCTGACAAGAATGAAGGCAGTTGTTGAGAACAGCACACCTCATCGAACCTTCACCATTGGACAGGTTCTGAAGACCGACAACGGTGAGGACAAGATGGTGATGTTCCCCAAGGATGGTAGCACCACAACTGAGCAGATGATGGAAGATGCTTAGCTGTTCGTCAAGTTCCACTACGAGAACTTCACTTTTAATGGCATCAAGTTTGGCAAGGGCATGAGAATCATATCAGTCCCCAAGTACACCAAGGGCACACTCATCACCTGGCCTGAAGGAACTCAAGGCATTGCAGTCACCGAGAATCATGGAGACTCTCACATCCACATCAAGGAGCTCTTCTCGAAAGAGGCCGACAAGATCTGCTTCCTCTACCTCTACGGCTACATGACCTACCAGAACGAGGACATGATCGTGCATGCCAAAATCACGAGAAGGACAGCTCCAACGGTGGCTTCAACTGAACAACAAGCTCAACCTGGAGGTGACGACATGAGCACCCAATCAGAACCTTTGGTGGAACTGGGACAGAAACGAAAAGAGCCTGAAACCGACTTTGGTGCCAACTCTCCCGAGCACAAGAAGCACAAGCATCTTTGGATGTCCACTGAACTTTTGCATCTACGATCGCTGTGGTGGATGACGCAGAGACCAAAGAATATCATCCTAGATCCACATCCAATTTGGTTTGAGGAGGACATGAGATGGACAAGAAAGAGAAAGCAACATGCACTACAACCTGAAGGACAAGATGGGTTGCTTCTCCACCTCTACTGCAAGACCGAGGCCCACTTGTCCATCGACATGCGAGAAGGTCACATCTACCGAGTGGATGAACAAACGGACACCTTGACCGAAGACCAAGTCCTTCGACATTGGCAACAGTTCGAGTCAAGTGACCGCAAGGAGATCCAACAGTTTGTGACCGAGAAGGTCTTCGAGAAGATCAAACTGGATGACATACCCAAGGATGCCACTGTCGTGGATTGCACTTGGGTGAGGAAGTTCAAGAGAATGCCAAATGGAGAACTGGCTCCAAAATCCCGGCTGTGCGCTCGTGGCTTTCTTGATACACGAAGCACAACAGCTACGAGACTCAGTCAGAGATTGGTGGTGTCAGTGGCGGCAACACACCTCTTCGACCTGGCGTCTTGGGATGTGTCAGGTGCCTTCATGAAGGGACTATCTTTTCGACAAGTTCAAGAAGCTCTGAGGAGAAAAGGCATCCCAAGTCCACGACGCATTGTCGTGATCGTGCCACCTCCAAATGTGTGGCGTCATCTTGGAGAAATCAGCCCTGAGTTTTGGATTCCTGAAGATCAATACCATCTACATGGGCTGATCTGCTTGAAGCCAACATATGGACTTTCAGATGCACCTCTTGCCTGGCAACTTTGTCTTCACGAAGAACTTGCAGCCAGTGGAGGACATCAAAGCAGTTTGGATGAGAACATGTGGATTTTCAAACATCCAGATGGAGCGATCGAAGGTGTCATCACAACACATGTGGACGATTTGGCAGTGTGCGCAAATCGAACTTTCCTCAACAAGCAGCACAAGATCCTGAGCGACAGATTTGGTCGCATCACTCAACAAGAGCCTCCTTTCAACCACTGTGGATGCCGATACACTCAGCTTCCCAACAAAGGTGGCTACAAGATCGATCAGGAAGAGTTCACAGCAGCTCTCAAGACCATTGAGATCAGCAACACCAAGGATCCCAATCGCCTGTTGGAACCTGGGGAGGTGACCAAACTCCGATCAATACTTGGTGGTTCGTTGTGGTTGACATCTACCAGACTTGACTTGGTTTCCGATGTGGGGGTGATCCAATCCCGAATCACCAAAGCAACAGTGGCCAACTTCATGCTGGCCAATAGCATAGTGAAAAAAAGCAAAGATGCAGCAGTACAAGGACATTGGAATTATCTACAGACACTTCCCCAAGGACATCAAGTGGAAGCTGGCGGTGGTCCATGACGCTTCGTCAGCGACAAAGGGAAGAGCATACAGCCAAGAAGGAGTGATGGTGATGCTCATGCCAGACCTGATGGACTTCAACAAGGAGATTCATACCATCAGCGGCTTGGAAGTCTCTGAGAAGAACTTCGGTGGCTTGGCACACATCCTCTATGCTCATGGTGGAAAATCGAAAAGGATCTCATACTCCACGTCTCATGCAGAGACACTGGCAGCAATGGCAGGCCTGGAAACCTCAACGCTAGTCAGCTTGAGATTGGCCGAGATCTTACTCCCAGATAAGAAGCCAACGCTTCAAAGACTTGCAGCACTACAAGAACAAGGAGTTCCATTTCTACCAGTGGATGCCTACACTGATTGCCGGGACTTCTACTCCCTCACAACAGGGATGACATCAGCCCCGCAGGACAAGTCCCACCGGTTTTGTGCTGGCACACAGAGAGGCCCGCATCGCAGGCCGTTTGAGATGGGTCATACTGGTGCCGACACAGTCAATGGTGGCGGATGCATTGACCAAGGTGATGCTCAGCAGACAATTGCTGGAGTTGATGACAACAGGTGCTGTAGAGTTCAAGAATGAGGTGAAACACCATATCTAGGCAAGAAGATTACCTCCAAGAGCCGATTTCACTGAAGAGGAGTTGGAAAAGGGAGACAACGCTTGGTTGGACGACAACCTAAGCATCAACTACATCAAAACCATCCAGAACTACAAAGCGGATTCGAGATTTACATCCAGTGGAAGCACATGGAAGCCCAACAAATGGCTTCTGGCTATGTTGTACTTTGCCACTTTGGCGAATGGTGGAAGAGCTGAAGGAGAAGCAGTGTGCATGGAAGTTTCACAAAGCGCGCCAACAATTCAAGTACAGTCGATGCTCATGTCAGTCATGATGCTCGTGATTTTTGCCTTGGCCTTCTTCATCTACAAGGTCAAACTTTCGTTGGCCCGACTTAAGGGAATCGTGGACACCGAGATGATCCAGGTGCTGGACCCGATGAATCAACGACTTCGAGATGCAGAACGAGATCAGAGAAACCATATCTACAACTTTGACGCCTTGCAGCGACAGGCGACAGGTTTGAGAACATCAAGGAGATTTGGATACTCTGTTCAGAACTATGAGGAGAAGAACTTCACCACATCCTGAGGAGCCTTCATCAACGAGAAGGAGAACTATGAACTCAAGACCCGCTTCTGTGGAGCCTGAGGATGAGTCGTATTCCAGGGAGTATTCAGGTGACTCCTATCAACCAGAGGATGAGTCAGTCAGATCTGTGAGCTTTCTTCGAAGAGCCTCAAGGTCCCGAGATGGAGATCAAGGAGAACAAGAATCTGAAGAGTCCAGCGAGGGAGAGACGCAGGACCTGAAGGAGCTCCGACGTCGTCAAGAACGAGAAGCTCAGCGGCGTATGGATCTGCATGCCCAGACCAACAACCTGGAGGTCTACTTGCACATGGAAGAGGGCTTACTACCTCCTGACCAATATCTTCCATTCTTCAGGGTGGACGAGCTCTGCGAGGAGCATGCCCCATTGTTTCCAACGGTTGGGAACTATGATCCGACCGAGCACGTGCAGGTGGTGACCTACCAAGGGGAGCGAACCTTCTGCCTGACCGAGGGCAACCAGCGCTTGACCTTTCGAAGCTGGGAAGGTTTGCATGGCTTCAGATGCAGCAGAATCGCTGCGCGCCGCAATGATCGAGTCAGTGATACCGATCACGAATGGCGACTGAACAACCTTTACCAGTACTACATGCGTGTACCATAGAAGTCAGTTTGCCAAACACGTGCAACGACACAAGAGCAGACTTGACTTTTGTACATGGCTGTCAGGTATCATTTCACCTGGTGTTCACAGGTGCACCTTTTGGCCCCGAAAAAACAATAAAAAAACATAGAGCTGCCACAACTTGTGTATAACAATACATAATAATATATAATGATATATAATAATATATAGGAATATTATCGTTTTTTTAATAATGATATATGATAATACATAATAGTTTACAATATATTATAACATAAGACAATACAAAAATATACAGTAACATATATGATATGTAATATATGATATATAACATTCAATATATAACTCAAACTATACAGTATATTGATATATAATACATGATATAATATATATTGACTATATATATGTATAATAGCTAATCTATAAAATATGATATATGAAATTTAATATATGACATTTAATATATAGTAAATAATATACAATACACTAATATATAAATAGACAATGAATAATATATATATATATATAGTATACAATATATAATATATAACATTTAATATAGAATATTACATATGATATGATCTAATATAATATGATATGACATAGTTATAATTATAATTATAATATAAAATAAAATAATATAATATAGTATAGTATAATATATTATATTATATTCTATTATCTGATGTAATATAGTATGATATGATATGATATGATATATATATATGCAGTTGTGATTTTGCAAGTTACATACTTACACACACACACACACACGCTGAGCGCCTTCCAGCAGCCACTGACCAGTATCAAATATCCAAAAATTGCTAGGAACAATTCCTGGCGGTTGTTCACCCTGACTTCAGCAGATTAAATGTGCCTTCAACTAGTGAAACCTTTTCACGCCCAGTACATCCTTTTAGATCAGGATGAACGGCCTTCTTCTCCAAGATTCACGGTCGCAGATCCATTTTGTTAAACTTTGAAATTCAGTGAGCGCCACTCGATATGATATCATCAATCTATGAAGTTAGGAAGTCTCCAGACGGTGCGTATTGTGCAACTGCATTTTTGTGCCTGATTCTAGTTTCACACTTCCCTTAATTCATTTGGTGCCAGGATGAGAAGCAGACCTTGACGACCCAATTCCGGGATGCCCTCAAAGAGAAGGTGCGCGCGCAGTTTCTGATTGTTTCTGAATGCGTAGCGAAGGGTTCTTGTTTTCTTGGTAGGGGGTCTGGGAGTGGAGCTGGGTTTGCAGGTCGTTGCGTGTCGGGGCGCTCTAATCGACCCTCGCCGTGCCGAAAGGAAATGATAGAAAATGTGACATTTTAAAGTTTCAAAGGTGGCACTCTGGCGTGACGTGTTCTCGCTCGCCGTGTCTCCAGGATTTGCCACAAAACGTGACGTTGCGAAGTTGCGAAATTGTGGCACTCAGGCGTGAAGTGTTCCGCGGATCTCTAATCGACTTGCTCGCCGTGTCTCTAGGATTTGCAGCAAAATGTTTTGATTGTGAAGCGGTGGCTGTGAAGCGTGGAGTGTGGAGTTGAAGTGTCGACTGTGAAGTGTGGACAGTGAAGTGTGGAGTGTGAAGTGTGAAGTGTGGAGTGGAGTGTGAAGTGTGGACAGTGAAGTGCGGAGTGTGAAGTGTGGAATGCGAAGTGTGAAGTGTGACGAGCGTGTGGAATGGGAAGTGTGGCGTGGAGAGTGTGAAGTGTGGAGTGGAGAGTGTGAAGTGACGCGCTTGCTGGGGCGGCGTTTTAATTGTGAGAGGCTGTGGTAGAAAAAATCTCACCGAATTTGGAGTACGGGAAGAGTATATGGAATTTTGGGCGTGGAGCGTGGAGCGTGCTTTGACACATAGATGCTCAACGGTGTGTGCTCTTCATTTTAAATGTTTCTCTCTATATAATTGACGTCATTTTAAAGAATGCATTCGGGTTCGTGGTTTCTATCAGGTTTTTGGATGGCTTTTCCCTGCCAAGGAATCATTGAAACGAAAAATCACGATCAAACAGAATCAAACGGCTCTGTTTTCAGGTGCACGTAGAGCTGGTTCAATTGAACTGATTGGGCAGCACGGTCTTGTGTGCATCACACATCTCAGGAGGTCCCGGAGGAGGTGCAAAAGGCGCTGGGTGCGATGAGGTGTCATGGAGAATAAGGTTCATGAGCCCGAAATAGCAATGAAGAATTCGGAAAAACATGTGTGCAAAAGAAAAAAACAAAATTAATCATAATTAATCTAAATTATCTAACCGCAATAAATGTCGACATATCTGCGGTCGGTTTGTCTATGGTCATTGCCTTGGCCAACCTCCTTGTGACTTAGAAATTGTAGATTGGTCTTGTTTGGCAGTCTTTTCTGGTCCAGGTCATCGACACGGAGATCGCAAAATTGAATTCTTTGGAGCCTTCGTCGCCAGAATTCAATGTATGTTCGGCATGCCCAGCTATATGCGGTATGTGCATAAATGATCCAGGGCCAATAGGAACACTGAGGGTTGTGCTTTTAGTAGCTAGACCCAATGGGTTCTGACTGACATCCTTTCAACGAATGGGGTAGCAGCGATAGAACTGTCTCCATGCAGGACATCGGACTGAGCTCGCCAAGATTGCATTTGTGGGCAAGCGTGCCCGTATGAATTATTCGCTTGAACTGTTTAAATCTCCTGACTCGCACAGCCAAGGCCGAACGTACCTTGAATGGCTCACTTGCTTACCCTGGGGTTGGGAGTGCCCAGACATGATGTCAGACAGGACGTGAGAGGTTTCGAGGATTTGCACTTGTGGCTTCGGTTTCACCGTGATCAGAATTGGACACAGCAGCTGCTACTGTAGTCTAGTACTCGCAGAAGCTTTGGAGGAAGTTCATGATTTTTAGAAGGGTGCGGTCTTTTTGTCAGTGAAGCTACATTGTCCGAAGGTATGAATCTCCAAACATTATGGTTTTTGCTACACTCGAAATCAACAAGGTCTTTTCAAAACGACTTAAATGACCTTAAATGTAGAGACAGTTGACCACTGTTGACTGTATATATTGTATTGGTGAGTTCAGGTAGACAAGGAGGATTGGACAACTGTAGTGGGACTCCGACCCATGGTTGAGGCAAGTTTACTTGTGAGAACCGCGACATCAAGAAGGCCGAGTCCATCCTTGATGAGGACCGGTTCCAATTTTCGTCCTCTGCCGAATGGATTGTTGTAATGGTAGGACTGACCTTCATCAGGCACGGATGTGAATGGATTGTAGACCCTGCTTACATTCTTTGCGAAGTTCCTATATTTCTGCAGGGATGCTGCTTCGAAGGACCACTATGGCCTAGAAGATGTCAAAGAGCGTATCTTGGAGCACATTGCGGTCAGTTTCCTGAAGGCCAGGGAGGGAAAGCGCGAAAGCGAGCTGGACCAGTATGCTGTTCACCTTCTGGATTCTCCCCTTTGCATGTGTTGGGAGACAAAATCCCGCACGAAGGAAATTTGACGGGCATGTTGCACTATCTTTCCATCACAGGCTTCTCAAACCATTGTCCTGTAGCCAGTCTTTCTAAGTGCTTAGAGGGGTGGTTTCGAGACACTTAGGATTCAGCTTCGATCTGCACTTGACTGCAGGATTCCACGCAGGGCAAGATCATGTGCAAATACCTCAGCCCAGTCTGACATGCGCACCTTGTCAAGGGTCGTTGTTGCTGGTTTCGGGCTCTTAGGCAAGTGAGACAAAGTTGCCTAAACTCGGCTTGAAGCACGGCAACGCCGTTGGAAAAAGCTGTTCCACAGGGTCTTAGACTTTCGACCCCCAAAGCCATTAGTTTTGCCCACGAGATTTCCATTGGCAGTTCGCTTCCAGGCCTTGTTGGTCCACCTGGAGTTGGAAAAACATCCGTGGGGAAGAGCGTGGCGCACGCATTGGGGCGAAAGCTGCCGGCTCAGAGTTCAACAGAGTTGAAACGGCGGGGCTCTGTGGTTGAGAAACCACGAGACATATTTGAGGACCTCCTGCAAGCAGCTTGATGTTCTGCGAACTAGCGCTTGGCTGCTGGGGAAAGATTTGCTTCAGCATCAAAATAGGGCAACGTCGGCGCAAGCACATGCAACTAGACACATTGAGACTCAACTCCAAGCACTGGACAGATCCGCAGAACGTTGGATGGCTCTTGCTATCTCTTGCTTTCCATTCAACATGCAGCTGGCGATAAATCAAAGGAATCCTACCTGAATTCTGCGTCACCGTGTCACCTTAGGAAGAACTTGATTCGACGCGTCTTTGCTTTGGGAGGGACCCATGCAGTGTGAGTGGCGCTGAATCGTTGTTTGTTAAGTCTAAAAAATGTGACCTGCCCGCGGCGCCATGGAGCGGAGCGTAGCCATAGTCTCATGCGAGCAGACTAGAATGGCCGAGCTGCGGCGACTAGTCAGCTACATGGGGGAGGACTCACCATCATCGAGCTGTTAAACTGAATAAACTGAATAAACTGAATAAACATTGAATTAATGAACATTGATGAACATTGATGAACATTGATGAACATTGATGAACATTGATGAACTGCAAGAAGCTGAATTCAATTTATGAAGCTCCATGGATTGTGTCAGAGGGGTGGTGCGTCGTTGGAAAAAAGTATGCGGAGGAGAAACTGGCAGGGAGATTGGCGTTGCAAGAGGCGGATCTTACGATGCCTGGCGCGTTTTATGGTGGTTACAGATTTGTTGTTGGTTTCCCAGTTTTACTTCATCTTGCTTCTATAGTGTGGACATGCACATCTGTCACATGTCTCCACTGAACATACAAGTCACCACAAATGGAGTTGGATCCCACAAATGGAGTTGGATGAGTTCATACATGCATGCCTAGCTACCTCTGTTCGCATTGATCACAAATAAGTATATTTTTTGAAAGAAACATGTATATTATGTATATCCGCCGACCCCGGCCTTGGCCAAGGCAGGGGCGGCGCCTGGGACCACCGCAGGTGTGGAACTTCTCCTTCTTCGCTTTCCAAGGTCAAACCCATCTCGCAGCCAGCAAGCTGCCCCAAGGCCACATCGCGTAAACATTTTCCTGGCATGCTTCGTCCTCCAGTTAAGACTTCCAGGCATTTGGACATGAAAATTACATGCTTTGGGAAACCCTTAAAACGCTGACTTGGCATGCTTCATCCTGCAGCCAACAGCCACCCCGAGGCCACACATCAATGGCTTCTTATGGGCCGCTTAAACAATCCCTTGGCATGCTTCATCCTGCAGCCAACAGGCACCCCAGGCACACATCAATCGCTTCTTATGGGCGTCCAAGCCTGCCGTTTGCCAGCCCTTAAACCCTTAAAACCCTCCAAACCCTCCAAACCCTCCAAACCCTTAAAAAAAAGCCCTTAAAACGCTGACTTGGCATGCTTCATCCTGCAGCCAACAGCCACCCCGAGGCCACACATCAATGGCTTCTTATGGGCCGCTTAAACAATCCCTTGGCATGCTTCATCCTGCAGCCAACAGGCACCCCAAGGCCACACATCAATGGCTTCTTATGGGCGTCCAAGCCTGCCGTTTGCCAGCCCTTAAACCCTTAAAACCCTCCAAACGCTTAAAAACCTTAAAAATCTTACAACCCTTAAAACGCTGACTTGGCATGCTTCATCCTGCAGCCAACAGCCACCCCGAGGCCACACATCAATGGCTTCTTATGGGCCGCTTAAACAATCCCTTGGCATGCTTCATCCTGCAGCCAACAGGCACCCCAAGGCCACATATCAATCGCTTCTTATGGGCGTCCAAGCCTGCCGTTTGCCAGCCCTTAAACCCTCCAAACCCTCCAAACCCTTAAAAACCTTAAAACCCTTGCAACGCTGACTTGGCATGCTTCATCCTGCAGCCAACAGCCACCCCGAGGCCACACATCAATAGCTTCTTATGGGCCGCTTAAACAATCCCTTGGCATGCTTCATCCTGCAGCCAACAGGCACCCCAAGGCCACACATCAATGGCTTCTTATGGGCGTCCAAGCCTGCCGTTTGCCAGCCCTTCAACCCTTAAAACCCTCCAAACCCTCCAAACCCTTAAAAACCTTAAAACGCTGACTTGGGCTTCATGCAACAACAGCCACCCCGAGGCCACACATCAATGGCTTCTTATGGGCCGCTTAAACAATCCCTTGGCATGCTTCATCCTGCAGCCAACAGGCACCAAGGCCACACATCAATTGCTTCTTATGGGCGTCCAAGCCTGCCGTTTGCCAGCCCTTAAACCCTTAAAACCCCCCAAACCCTCCAAACCCTTAAAACCCTTAAAACTTGGCATGCTTCATCCTGCAGCCAACAGCCACCCCGAGGCCACACATCAATGGCTTCTTATGGGCCGCTTAAACAACCAGCAAGCTGCCCCAAGGCCACATCGCGTAAACATTTTCCTGGCATGCACAGGCACCCCAAGGCCACACATCAATCGCTTCTTATGGGCCGCTTAAACAATCCCTTGGCATGCTTCATCCTGCAGCCGACAGGCACCCCAAGGCCACACATTAATGGCTTCTTATGGGCGTCCAAGCCTGCCGTTTGCCAGCCCTTAAACCCTTAAAACCCTCCAAACCCTCCAAACCCTTAAAAATTTTAAAACCCTTAAAACGCTGACTTGGCATGCTTCATCCTGCAGCCAACAGCCACCCCGAGGCCACACATCAATGGCTTCTTATGGGCCGCTTAAACAATCCCTTGGCATGCTTCATCCTGCAGCCAACAGGCACCCCAAGGCCACACATCAATGGCTTCTTATGGGCGTCCAAGCCTGCCGTTTGCCAGCCCTTCAACCCTTAAAACCCTCCAAACCCTCCAAACCCTTAAAAACCTTAAAACCCTTCAAACGCTGACTTGGCATGAACAGGCACCCCAAGCCCACACATCAATGGCTTCTTATGGGCCGCTTAAACAATCCCTTGGCATGCTTCATCCTGCAGCCAACAGGCACCCCAAGGCCACACATCAATGGCTTCTTATGGGCTTCCAAGCCTGCCGTTTGGCAGCCCTTAAACGCTTAAAACCCTCCAAACCTCCAACCCTCCAAACCCTCCAAAAACCCTTAAAAAACCTTTAAACCCTTAAAAAGCGGAACTGGGCATGCTTTTCATTCCTGCAGCCAAACAGCCACCCCGCAGGCCACACATCAAAGGCTTCTTATGGGCCGCTTAAACAATCCCTTGGCATGCTTCATCCTGCAGCCAACAGGCACCCCAAGGCCACACATCAATGGCTTCTTATGGGCTTCCAAGCCTGCCGTTTGCCAGCCCTTAAACCCTTAAAACCCTCCAAACCCTCCAAACCCTTAAAAACCTTAAAACCCTTAAAACGCTGACTTGGCATGCTTCATTCTGCAGCCAACAGCCACCCCGAGGCCACACATCAATGGCTTCTTATGGGCCGCTTAAACAATCCCTTGGCATGCTTCTTCCTGCAGCCAACAGGCACCCCAAGGCCACACATCAATGGCTTCTTATGGGCGTCCAAGCCTGCCGTTTGCCAGCCCTTAAACCCTTAAAACCCTCCAAACCCTCCAAACCCTTAAAAACCTTAAAACCCTTCAAACGCTGACTTGGAATGAACAGGCACCCCAAGGCCACACATCAATGGCTTCTTATGGGCCGCTTAAACAATCCCTTGGCATGCTTCATCCTGCAGCCAACAGGCACCCCAAGGCCACACATCAATGGCTTCTTATGGGCGTCCAAGCCTGCCGTTTGCCCCAAGGCCACACATCAATGGCTTCTTCTGGGCCGCTTAAACAATCCCTTGGCATGCTTCATCCTGCAGCCAACAGGCACCCCAAGGCCACACATCAATGGCTTCTTATGGGCGTCCAAGCCTGCCGTTTGCCAGCCCTTCAACCCTTAAAACCCTCCAAACCCTCCAAACCCTTAAAAACCTTAAAACCCTTAAAACGCTGCCTTGGCATGCTTCATCCTGCAGTCAACAGCCACCCCGAGGCCACACATCAATGGCTTCTTATGGGCCCCTTAAACAATCCCTTGGCATGCTTCATCCTGCAGCCAACCGGCACCTCGCGTAAACATTTTCCTGGTATGCTTCGTCCTCCAGTTAAGACTTCCAGGCATTTGGACATGAAAATTACATGCTTCGTCCTCCAGTTAAGACTTCCAGGCATTTGGACATGAAAATTACATGCTTTGGGCAAGTAAGTTTTCCTCCGGAAGGTTTTGTCTGAAGGTTTTGTCTTTCAAGGCTCCTTCTTCGCTTTCCTAGGTCCAACCCGTCTCGCAGCCAGCCAGCCGGCGCAAGGCCACATCGCGTAAACATTTTCCTGGCATGCTTCGTCCTCCAGTTAAGACTTCCAGGCATTTGGACATGAAAATTACATGCTTTGGGCAAGTAAGTTTTACTCCGGAAGGTTTTGTCTGAAGGTTTTGTCTTTCAAGCCCAAAGCAGCCGTTCCCGCATTCCTGTAGTAGCAGTTCAAATCATTGACCACGCTTACAACTTAAAACGCTTAAAACCCTTAAAACGGTGACTCATCACCCCAAAGCCACACATCAATTCTCTTAGGCGTCCAAGGTTGCCGTTTGCCAGCACTTACACAATTCAAATGATACCCCAAAGCCAGATCAATAGCTTCTTCTCGGCGTTCCAGCTTGCCGTTTACCACCTTTCTCTTTGACAACGCCGTCCTTGACAGAAAACTGCTTCCCACAGACCCTTCGATGGTCTACTTGCCCTGTCTTCACGTCACTGGCCACATTCCCTTTGCAAGCGGGGCAAATGTAAACATACGCTTTCTCCTTCACAACGCCGTCCCTCACAGAAAACTGGTTCCCACAGACCGTTCGATGGTTTATTTGCCATGTCTTGACATCACTGGCCACATTCCCAATAGGGGGGTCGGCGGCACCAGGGCGCTAGCCCATTCTATAAAGCTAATCTCATACAGCCAATCACATCAAATCATTCTGATTTTGCAAAATGCCGTTGCTGTGCACGTTCTCAGGCAATGGCACTTCATGGCTTCATGGCAACTCCTCCAGCAAGGGTACCAACTCGAAGCTCCTCCAAGACTGAGTCCTGTGCCGAGACATGTAGAAATGCCCAGATGTATCCAGATATATCCAGATGTGCTTCACTTGCGCCTTTCACTTGATTATATATCTTGACTGAGGCATCAACTTTCACCACTTGTTGTATACATGGTTTGGAACTGTTTGTAATGGGTCTTTCCCAGTAGCAGAAGTGAGTCAAACTCTTTTGACAGCGGGAAATCAGAAAGTAAAACAAACACGCATGAGGGTGCCGGGTCTCCTTTTCAGATCACAATTTTTTTTTGCAGTTTCGCACACTCGAAACGCGTTTAACTACAGCGATTCGATTGCGAACGGCTTCCAAACACAATGCATCCTCGCACCTTCTGCTCTGGTTTCTCCTCAGATTGAAACGGCCACAACCACGACCACCAGCCCAACTCTCTTTCTTCGCTCTTTTCAGCCTACAAGGGGGAAAAATGGAACAACTCGATAATGAAGGAGATCCTTTGATCTTTCATGACATTTCTGCATTCGTTCAACTTGGAACTGTGGTAGCCTCTGTGACAGCCTCTGTCACCTCGCGGGAGGCAGAAGGCCTGATGTAGGATCACCAAGATGAATCAAAATTCCCAAACACGTTGGCCCTTGGCAGGAATGTGAGATGATTCAGATTGATTCATGATGTTTGTCTGGTTCCATTGCTCCATGGAAGTATATGCATGATGCCCTTGGAGGGACTTCTATGCTGTACGGCCTATAGGGGAATCGGTTGCTTGTCCAATCTCATCTACAATATACAGTAAATGATCAGCAAATTAATCCCAGTAGTACCACGCAAGGCAGTGGCGGAAGTTTCAAAAATAGGAAACCTATAGGAGAGGTTGGTTGTTGTGAATTACGGATGGCAGAGGGAATCCACTGATGGACCGACAGGTGGTTGGAGTTGTATTTTTTGGAATGGTTGCAATGGTTGCAGTGGTCACCTTACCACAACTGCTGTATGTAATGTGGTGTAGTGCAGTTGTAGTTGTAGTCGCAGTTGTAGATGTAGTTGTAGTGTAGTGTAGTGTAGTGGAGCTGTAGTTTTAATGTAGTGTAATTAGTGTAGTTGCAAGTGTAGTTGCAGTTGTAGTCGTGGTGTGGTGTAATTAGTGTAGCGTAGTGCAGCGTAATGTTGTGTAGTGTTGTGTAGTGTCGTGTGGTATAGTGTAGTGTAGTTTAGTGTAAGGTAGTGTAGTTGTAGTTGTAGTGTAGTGCAGTGTAGTTAGTGTAGTGTAGTGTAATGTAGTGTAGTGTAGTTTAGTGTAGTGTAGTATGTGTAGTGTAGTGTGATGTAGTGATAGTTGTAGTTGTTGTTGCAGTTGCAGTTGTAGTTGTAGTGTAATGCAATGTAATCAGTGTAGTGTAGTGTTGTGTAATGTAGTGTGGTCGTAGTTGTAGCTGTATTTGTAGTTGTAGTGTGCTGCAGTGTAATTACTGTAGTGTAGTGTCGTTGTAATTGTAATTGTGGTAGTAGTTGTTGCTGTAGTTGCTAGTGTAATTGAATTGGTGTAGTGTAGTGTAATTAGATGTAATTAGGGTAGTGTAGTGTAATTAGTGTAGTGCAATGTAGCGTAGTATCTTTGCATTTGTATTTGTAGCTGTACTAAATCTAATCTAATCTTAATTTAATCTAATCTAATCTAATCCATCTATCTGTTTGTCTGCCTGTCTGCCTGTCTGCCTGTCTGCCTGTCTGCCTGTCTGTCTGTCTGTCTGTCTGTCTATCTCTAAGCTTGAAAGCGCAGCAATTCTGCGAGACTTCCTCAGTTTTTGAACTTGGCAACATCCAAAACGAAGCAATTCTGCGAGACTTCCTTCAAAAATGGAAAGTTGAGTGCAGAGGTGACGGCCTCGTACCAATGCGTTTTGCGATTTTTCCACTCCACCTGTCTACGAAAAATTGATGCCAGGTCATACTGCACCTGTCACGCAAAAAAAAAAACAAACTGAAGATGATGCTCCAAAATGCAACCCCTCTCAGGAAATCAGCGACCTGACCTCTTAACATCTCTGATGAACACGTCTCTTGTTCTGCGCCTGCCACGCGACATGCATCTTTGCAGATCCTCTTCAAATGTCCCACGCCTGCCATCATTTTTGGAACTGCTACAAAACCCACGCGTTTTGCTCAAGCTGCAGAATCCCTTGCACCTGCCACGCAAAATCACATCTGAACCTTCCAAAAGTGGTCCGAGAACGGTGTGTTTTGTACATTTTGACTTCGAAATATGCTTCGCGCCACAACGGCGTGCACTTTTTCAACATCTCAACTTCCAAAAGTGCTCTGAACGTGGTGTTTTTTGTACATTTTGACTTCGAAATGTGCTTCGCGCCACAACGGTGTGCACTTTTTCGACATCTCAACTTCCAAAAGTGATCCGAAGCTGATGTGTTTTATACACTTTGACTTGGAAATGTGCTTCGCGCCACAACGGCGTGCAATTTTTCATCTCTCATCTGGCCAGATGGCTCTGCACCCGCCGCTTTAGCGAGCCTACTTTTCGACCCTTCGGAGCCACAAATCATTGGAAAAACACAGTGTTTCGCGACTTTCCTACCTTTTTGCGCACCTGGATCTTCTTTCTTCGGAGACTTTCTCTTTTTTGATACTCTTTCTTTGTTCTCTTCTGTTCTCTTCTCTTCTCTGACTCTTCCCATCTCTGCTTTTCATCTGTCCATACTGTCGGAAGTTTGACTTCTAAACTTCCTTCGATGACAATTCAATGCGTCAGGCATCGCTGACCCACCCTTGATGATGATGATGATGATGATGATGATGATGATGATGATGATGATGTGTGAACCTTCGCAGTCGAAATGCACACGGACATTCCACAAGAGCCATTTAGTATGGAAATTTACAGGGAAAATGCCAAACGCGACGGATACCACCTCGATTGAACACCGGGCCTTAACTGTTACCGTAAGAACCCCTGTGTGTGGCCACACTGTTTGGGGAAACATAGACTCAGCATAGACTCAACCTATGTCAATTTTATGAATCGTATGATCATCTGCAGGCCTATTTGGCCCGAAGCATGGATCGGCGATCCGCTTCTGTTTGTGTGTTTGATAAGTCCACAAAGCTTCTCTGCTTCTCTCAGCTTCAGACTCAAGGAAGGAGGAGTTCAGCATTGGAGCTGGTGCGAAGGTGGCGTCTTTCTTGGACTCTCTGACTGGAGCTGGTGCAAAGACAGCTTCATCCAGATCCTTGATCTGGGCCAATGTAGCTGGAGTGTGCATTGGAGTGCCAAAGATGTAATTCCAAAGGCTGCCTTAGAAAAGGACTTGCAAGACTCAACAAGTTTCTGTAGCAATTGATGTCTAGCGTCCATCTTCTGTAATTGGCAGGAGAAGCTGTGGCAAATCACAACTGTGAAATTTAGGCAGGCAGACTTCGGCATATTTTGGCATGCCAAGCTGCTCGGTGAAAGGAACCAAGGCAACCATGACCACAATCCCGAAGTCTTGGCAGGGGCTGGTGCTGGTGCCGGTGCAGCCATTGGCGCAGCTGCAGGGGCGGGCATGGGTGCGAACTCGGGACCTGGCCCAGCCGGGGCAGCAGCTAGTGGTACTGGTGGTACAAGCTCAGGCTCCGCATCTGTGGCGTTTGCGCTGGCATTCTTGTCTGTGAGGAGGCTGGCGATGGACACGCTCCCTCCAAGTGCACCCTGCCGCAGAAGGCACTTTCAACATCTTTCAACGTTGGCTCTCTAGGGTTCAGAAAGATGATGAAAAAGCCTTTGTCATCCACCAATCTATCAATTCCTGTGTCTCACTGGCAAGGGTTGCCTAAGTCTTCCTCTGGACATCTGACTCACCCGGTGGTTTGCCCTAAAATGCCCATGCCGTATTTCTGCATGCACACAGTGGCCTCAATGGTATCCTTCGGCACTTCCTGGTCTTAAACCGGCAATCAAACACATTTGATCTGTCAGTGAACAAAAAGCCAAGCTCTTTCCAACCGTTTTCTTGTCATCTCTAGTCGGCACGCAGGACATCAATCATACATCTAGTACTTTATCGCATGCATATATGGTACACGCATCTTATTATTGCACAATATTTAACTTGATGTGATATGATGTAACATGATATAGTTGCACATATACAATATCTCAGGTTTGACTCAGACTGACTGGCTGGTGAACGAGCTCATGCTGGTCCTTTGACTTCACATTGTCCTGCACCAAAGCCTCTGAACACAAAGACACAAAGTCACACAGCAAAGGAAAGGCAAAACAGTTCACTGCAAGGCATGCAAAACGAAAGAACTTGTGCGTGACTGTGCAAGCATCCCAAAGATGGTCAAAGAACTTAGATTTAATTTAGGTGGATTTAGGATAGATGTATATAGTTCGTGTTAACATGAAGCAATGCAAGGAATCAGATTGCCTTCACTGCAAACTGGGTCTTGGCTGCATTAGCAGCGATTGCCAACAAACAGCACCTGAAACGGCCATCCCACATTCCAAATAGCATCAACATATATATATATATAATACAATTATATATATATATATCAAAATCATCAAATATCTCCGAATATTCGCTGAATATACAACCATACTTTACTGTGTTCAAGGTCATGTCTACATGCTGTAGTAAGTTGTGTCAAGTACTGTCGATGCTTCTCCTTATGCAACTCTCAGGCATTATTTGCATTTTCATCCATTTTTTACCCTGCAGAAGATCCCTCTGAAATGCCTCTCGCACTGCTAATCAGTGTATCGAATCATTTCCAGAGCTTTGCAATAGTTTCTATCGAAATCTATCGAAATCTATCGAATATCTTCTGAGAGCAGTGCCAAGCAACTGCAAACTGCATTCAGCCTTTGTCTTGAGATGCATGCACAATGGTGAATTCAAAGGGCAAAAAGCACCACTTCGCTTGCAAGACACATAGGAACGTACTTTGCGAGACATTATGATCTGAGAACCCCAAGACTTTGAGATCTTTGAGGATCAGTGAAGACAATTGATGCAGCAATGTTGCAACGGGACCTTTTTGCAAAGCCCAAGCATCAAGGTTGAAACACGCATGTATAATTCTAAGTAATTGAACAGCGGGACACCTCGTTGAGGTAAACACATGTCATGACAGTTATGTTATCAACGACTTTCCAAAATGATATGAAGATTGGTCTGCAGGCCCCTCCGCCCTGCCATGAAGGCTTTGAATGCCTCCTATCAAGCTGAGCTATGCCAAGTTCTCTCTCTGTACAAGTTTCAAAGCTGACCCTGAATGGCATATGACAACAACTGCGGAGACCAGGTGTTTTCCACGCAAAGCAAAATAGTCCCTCAGACTCAAATATTGGCCTGTCAGAAACCCTCTGTAAAGCAAATCGATAGGTTCTGGGCCCACAATTTCAGAACAGTCCACATGATTATAATGTGACATGTGATCATCATTCATTGTGGATATTGTGGTAGGCTCTCAGCAGTGCGCCATACCCATCTTGTTTCGTCCTGTGAGCCTTCGATTGTGAGTTGCAAAGTACATGCAGACTCATCAGGACACAAGCAAAAAGATCACACGGTTTAGCGCTAGCCACTAAAACCAGTGGATGTGAGAATGGAGTCTCAAACTGCTCTCAGAATCGACGATTGGTAAGGACCTCAAGTACAATCGAAACAAAACACATCATTTGTGCTCTGAGCTGGCACGCCTGAGCATGTCCTAATTAGATCTGACTAGCATACTTAGCAAGCTCATCATTCTGCCATATGCTGCCGTTGCTGGCATTCTGCCAAGTTGCCATTGGAGCAACCAAGGACCATCCGTATAGAACCAAAGAAATAAAGATGGCAGACACCTGGGCATCCCGTGCTGCTTGTGACATTGTGGGATTCCCATTGAAAAGTATACGGGCATGTTCCCCAGCATTGACACCCTGTGCCTAAAACAAGTAATTAAATTACACTTGCTCTCATGCAAAAGGATGTGATACAATTATATGTAATTGATATAATAATATTAATCATACATATGATGAGTTTGCGCGAGTTTGCCAAGGACGTTTACATATTCTGCTTGGGACCGTGCTCGCAGTGCATAGGTGGTTGGACCCGTCCTTTCGCAATTGCAAGATCGGACATCAATAACTTCAAGCTACACCAGCAACAGATGCAACAGTAACAATTCGTAAATGCTGTCCTTGCTGCCAGGGAGGAAGCAACATAAAGTGCTGCTGCAGCATGGATAGCACAGAACGCCGCAAACTGCCAAACCTCACCAAACAACCAAACATCACCATGTTAAGACATGCAGCACCAGCGGCAGGCCGGAGTGTTGTAATATTGCTGCACATTCATCACACAACATTTTGGCATGTTTCCTTGTCGGTGTTCAGTTGACAATGAAACATGTTATGTAACAATAATATACAATAATATCAATGATCAAACATGCTGGAGGCCTCTGATCGATTCATTCGTGGACTGCTGGCCTGCGACAAAAT